AATCACGAATTTAACACATAATAATTCGTGGTTTGGCCGAGTTATGACAACAACACGGCTGATGTACCACAGATAAATTCGTGGTTTGGCCGAGTTATGACAACGTTTTACGGCTGAGTTACTCAGATATTAATTTATATATACAGTCTCGAGATTACAGAAAGTGTTTTTTGGGGAAACGCCAACAATAATTGCTGACATATTCACACGCACACGCGTTTTAATGTCATAAATTAATACATAATAATTGAAAATAATACAAAAAAAATTATTATAATAACTAAAACAATTAAAAAAATATTCAAAATAATTCAAATACGTTACGGCTGAGGTATTTACTAATTACGGCTGAGTTATGAGAAAAATCATTTTATTTAAAGGGCCATTTGTATATTAACATTATGTCTGGTTCTAATAATGTCCAGATTTATAACATTAAATCACAATAAAAATTTCATACTTCCAGCCCATTCACATTCTATATAGATCGACTTTCTAGGAATGGAAGTTAAGTATGGCCTCTGTGTGTTTAGGGTTTAGATGGTGTTGGTTTAGGGTTTAGGGTACAAACATGAGCTAATTTTATGTTCATTAAAAGATGAGTGAATAGAAGAAGTTAAATACATCTTATAAACGTTGTTTAATTTCAGATTAAATCAAATCACGAATTTAACACATAATAATTCGTGGTTTGGCCGAGTTATGACAACAACACGGCTGATGTTCCACAGATGAATTCGTGGTTTGGCCGAGTTATGACAACAACACGGCTGATGTACCACAGATGAATTCGTGGTTTGGCCATATACGGCTGAGTTACTCAGATTAATTCGCCATTAACAAATACATAAAAGAGAATTCATACAAACAATACTACGACTGACAAGTTTTAGCATTATGCCCAACTTGATTACATCGAGAACATACATGTTGCTTCCTAGGGCGTTTGTTTCCAATGGCAACTTCCAAAGATGATTTAATCCTAATTTTCTTGGGCCTTCCTGGCTGGTTTACAACAATCGGAGGCAAGCACGGTTGGTTAACTACAATTTGAGGAACAGGGATTGCCGTATCGGAAGGCATGATTGGAGCAGCGTATGCGCTAACCAAGTAACTTCTCTTATAATAAGGACTGCACAGGGATATACGAGACACATCCATATGCTCTGCAGCTGCGATTGCATGTATGCATGGTAATTTCTCGTGGTCGAAACGACGGCATGTGCATTTTTTAGCATCCACATTTACAATATGCAACTGTGTTCCATAAGTTACATGCACGCGTAAAGCATCAATCGTTTGTACACCCATAAGTCTTGCCGCGGTGACACGGGCCTATTAGAGGGGAAAAAAAAAACAAAATACGTTAAGTCTGATTTATGGAAATAATGTCTGGTTTAAGAACGTTTGACGACTGACTTATGTAAGAAGTTACAGCTGAGTTACCTGTAACAGTTTTTCAACACCTCGTGAGAGCGTTGTTTGCTGCGAATTCGCGTCCTCTCTCCGTTCAGCAAACCATCTGGTCATCATAGTCCGTATCGATTCTAACAGTCGAACTATGGGAAGGCTTCTGGCCTTTGACAGTGCTTTGTTCATTGATTCCGCAATATTAGTAGTCATTAAATTGTACCTTTCACCCGGGAAATGAACACGCGCCCACATTTGGACACCAGCTCGTTGGAGGTATCCATGTAGGTTTTGATCAGACGCTTCAATCTCATTGAACGCCTCATTAAAATCACTCAGCCTAAAACACCTTGCCGCTTTTTTCACCAAAGGGAACAAATGTTTTCCTTTGAATTTCACCAAAATGTTCTTATGCAAATGGTAAGTGCAAATTCCACGAGAAGCCAACGGAAACACTTCACCAATTGCTTTCCCTATTGACTTATGTCTGTCCGAGATTATCGCAAGATCCTTATCGTCAGGGATAACAACTTTGAGTTGCGTAAAAAACCAACGCCAAGAATCATCATTTTCGGTGTCAACAATACCGAAAGCTATTGGATAAATCTGAAAATTACCATCCTGAGCTAGGGCTGTTAAAAGAGTCCCTTTGTAACTTCCATGGAGAAACGTACCGTCGACAACAACAACTTTGCGCATGAAAGGAAACCCAGCAATACTGGCACCAAAAGAAATGAACACATAGTTGAATCTTCCTTCCTCATCAAGTTGAAGACGCGTGACTGTACCCGGATTTGCCCGTCTTATCATGTATAGGTAAGAAGGCAGTTCTTCAAAACTACTCTCAGGAGTTCCATGATCGATCTGCCTTGCATACAGGAGCGTCCTATGTGACTTCCAATAACCCATCTGTTGACACCAACATATCGTAACTATAAGTCAGCCGTAATACATATAACTCAGCCACAATGTAAAAATAAGTCAGCCGTAATATATATAAGTCGTAAACTATAAGTCAGCCGGAATGTATTCATAAATCAGCCGAGATGAGAAAAAGTCAGTCGTATAGTAATCAATAGGTCAGCCGCCACACAGTAATTACCTTTATTCTAAAATGCTTATTGATAATTACTCCGACTGATTTAGGTTTAACATCCGGACCAACGTCACCAAGAAAGTCCCTGTAAAGAACTCCCAAAACATCAGGTGTTGCTTGTCGGGATCGATTAGAACGGTCCGTCACAGAACATGTGTGTTCCGAATCGTATATACGAACATAAAAATGTGGCTCATCCCCTTGTGTAGATGCACGAACTCTCCATCGACATTCATCAACCCAGCAAACAATATTCACTGCGGTCGGATTTGATACTGGTACATTAAAATCAAATCTATCCCTTACCGCAAGAAGTTTGAGTCGATACACCAAATCTTCTTTGCTCCGGTATCGTTGACCTACAGCGAGGTTTAGCGAAGACAACTCCAACCTTAAAGCCTCCGAGTTCCCAGCCGATCCGGCCATTTCAATGTTCTGAGGTTTCTTCTTAGGAGGCAGAGACGGTGAATCTTCGTCTTTATTCTGAGGATCGCCGTATACAGTAAATTATCATCATCAGATGAGGCACCATCGGAGTCGTCGAAAACATCAAATCGGCTTGAAAATTCATCATCTTCTTCTTCGTCATCTGCTTCTTGGTCACCTGCTTCTTCGTCACCTGCTTCTTCGTCTTGATTTTCACTATAATCATAACAAAAACCTTCAAATCCACCATCGGGAACTTCGTATCTAGATTCTAATTTTGAGCCAGAACTGGATGGCCGTTTCATCCTTCCTCTCGATCCGTCCTTCCGACTAATTTCCATATACTCTTTCACCGTAAATTCCACACAGAGACGTAGTTGATCGATTTTTCGTAGGCTTAGAAAACATTGTAACTGTCGATCATTGGAGACATAAACTGGTGGAGTATCAAGCGACATATTTTTCATAGCCTTCTTCGAGAACATGTAGCTCAGCTTTAACTGATGGCTCAACTCATTCAATCCGTAGTCATCGAGCACCAACTTCACAAGCTTGTCGTGCGTTGTTTCCGCATCTATCTGCACAACTCTACACCCTTTATCGTCGGTGTTAAATACGAATTTGTGTTTCTTTACCCAATTACCGGAAACAACCATTACCGGAACCGGATCAGTCATATCGGGGTAAGGAAGAACGAAAATGAAGAAATAAGACGATGACGAGTCGAGTGAAATTTAAGTTCCAGAGATGTGAAAAAAACACAGGTGAAGATCGACACAATCAAGAAGAAGATGAGTAGTAGAAAAGACCTTTCATATTTCCCTTGATGATGCTGACATGGAATGATGACATGGAATGTTGCATCCGACGTCATTTTTTTAATTGATGAAGTGGCAAGTAAGCCACCAAACGAAAATGTTAATCAACCAAATTAAACCAGCCATCAAACAAAACTTTAACTCAGTCGCAACATGCATACTATTACAGTAATTAAAAATCGAAAAAAATGCAGCCAAATTCAGCCGTTTAATGTCGTAACTCAACCGAAAATCTTTAACTCAGCCGTATCGTTTGATAAGTCGGCCGTAATTGCAAGCTATTCTAGTAATTAATCTTTCGCTACTAAGTCAGCCGTAATTGGGCCAAGTTTTCCATTAACTCAGCTCATTACGGCTGATTTATGACACTAGAGGCTAAATTAGCCGTAACGACATCACATAACTAGGCCGTCTTTGATAACTCAGCCAACCGGAAAAAGTTAACTCAGCCGTGTCGAAGCAATAACTCAGCCAAAATTTTGACAAATTAACCAACGGGTGAAATCTCAGCCGTAACTTAGGCTGGGTTATGTTCGAAAGTCAGCCATTTTCTCATAACTCAGACCGACTTCATTAACTCAGCCGTAACTAATGTCTAAGTTATACTCGTAAGTCAGCCGTTTTGCTCATAACTCAGTCATTTTCCATAAATCAGCCGCTACTAACCGTAACTCAGCCGTCACTGCCGCTGTATCGCTTTACGGCTGAGTTCATTAATACACGTCAGCGATTTCTGACGTGGCGACGCGGCTTTGCTGACATGGCAGTGGCATTCTTTGTAATTACGTTTTTTCCTGTAACGTTTAACAGGGGCACGCTGGGTATAAAAAATATACCCGAAATATGATAGTAATAAAAAAAGATCTGTATGTATCTGGTAATTTCATATAAAATGTTATACATCTGAGTAAAGATCCCAATATTTTATGATAACATCAAAAATAAACGAAAAAAATGCAGTATTGTATATAGTATTGAAATTTGTGTGTTAACACCTATGAAAATTCACAGTTTTTGCAAAATTTTCAAATTTTGCATAAGCGTGTTTGACCCTTCTTTAATCAATTTTCTGAGCGAGACATAGGTATTGTTAGTCCATGATTAGGACATTTGACATTTCTCTTAACTTCGATCATCGATCATATAAATCGATTTTCGTAACCAATAAATCCAACAATCGATAAAATTAGTCATTAGATATTTTTATGAACTATTTAGCCAAAAAAAATAATAATAAAAAAATAATATAATTTATTTTTAAATTTATGTTTGATAAAAGTAAAGAATCCAATTTTTGCTCAGCTTCGACCTTATCTACGTTTTCAATATATATAGAGCATAACACATGAGTGCCTAAACGAAAAGAAAATGGTTTGAGCTGTGTGTATCATTCATCTTCATTCTATCCAAAAGTCCAAACCCGAGCTAACTGAACAATTACAACGTTAGTTTTGTTGGTCGGAGAAAAGCACCTCAATTCTTTCTATCTCTCTGCTTTCAAACTTCGGTTAAGATCAACGATGATAGAATCACTGCGTATGCGAGGAATGCAAATATCGCTATCTGTATCAACAGTTTTGGATTTTCTCTCATGTTTGGCGACGTCACCGACCTGTCACAAAGCCGGTTAAACTTGTATCATTATGTTATTGCACGATAGGAGATTAGGATTGTTGGTTGCTTTACCTTGCAATACGTTGCGAGAGCCGATGAAACGGTAAGCTTTGGATAAAGACAATGCCTGGCCCCGTTAGAGTCGCCATTACTACGTTATCACCCTTTTGGATGTTGAAAGATTGAAACAGTTAAGGAACAAAACAAAAAAAATCTGAATCTTCTTCTCATTGAAACAAGTATATGTGAAGGTAGAGGGAGTGTAAATGTACCCCGAATACTGCTCGTCTCAAAGGAGCATTGTTTTTGATTTGGACATCGATTGAGGGTGTGAGAGCAGCAATACAGGACACGTCAATGGAGAAAACTTCTCCTACCTCCAGAACTTTTTGTAAAACTAACATGTTTGAGATTTTAATGTCAGTTTTTTGAAGGGGGTGAGACCTAAATGGAAACAGCATTCAATTTGGATAAAATCTCACCAGAGCCACCTGCGAGGATAAAAGCAAGACCTTGTCCAGATAGGCGTTGTCTCAGAAATCCCTGCAACAGCAATTTGTGAGTAGAAGCCAGACAAAGGGTTGCAGGATTGTTAAGAATAAATATTTGCATCAGAAACATATGCAAAGTATTGTCCTTCTTACCTCTGCACCAGCGGCAACAATGTTTCTAGCCCTCTGGTCAACGGAGTTGACAATCTTCACATCATGGACGGAACAAAGGAATGCATCTGGCTACAGAAAGTGAAGACAAGGTATTGCAATTCTGTAAGAGCTTGATCTGAATGAAGAAGAAGCTGAGAGCTAAGTGTCCACATTTAGGAAAAAAGACTCTTACCTGGCATAAGATCTCACCTCCAAACATTGCCAAATCGATCTACAGGGGAAACAAAGTTACCAAAGATCACAAAAACAATCAAGAATCAGGCGGTATATTAAGGGTGATATGGTAGATGATTATGCCAACATGGAGAAGCTAAAAACACTAACCGGGAGAATCCTAGCCAAATAAGGTGCAGCAATACCCACAAATCCATCGTTTTGCCCAGTATTCCTAAGAAGTACACTGCTTACACTCTTGCCCAAAATCCACTGCAAAACTCCAACTTCTTGTTCAGGAGTGTATGTATTTTCCATCTCGATGGACCCAGACATGTAGCACATGGAAGCTACAGCACCAAATCAAATTTAGCAACACAAAACCAGCATTACAAAACTGAACAGAGAAGTGAATTATTCAGGGGAAGTACCAGGCTTAGCGATGACTTTCTCCTCCGACTTTAACATTATCTGCTAACAGACGACCAATGGTTAGAGAAGCTAAAAGGATATGAGCCTATTTTTAAAAAGCAAATGAACCTGAACAACTTGGGATTCACCACCCAAAATCTGGAAAGGTGTAATAGTATCTTGTTGACTCTGCATCAAATGATCACTTATTAGACAACACAACAACAACAATGATATCAATATGTTCAGGCAACAACAACAATTTGATCACTTATTAGACAACACAACAACAACAACTACAATGAAATGGAAAAAAAAAAAAAAAAAAAAAAAGTAAGACTAATCCAAGGAAATGAAAACATGGAATTTCTCTAACTCTTACTTACAAATGAACCTCAAATTGCAAACAGACCTCATCATTTTAGATAGCGAAATGATCAAAGAGAGAAGAAGCAAACCTGGTAGACGTAAGGCTGAAATGGAGTTGAAAAAAACGGTGCGGCCATAGTGGTGAAGACCGCAGAGATGATCTGTAACCAACAAAACCTCTGACGAGCTTGTTCAAAGAATTCTCCGGTCAATTTCGAACGATCAGATCACAAAGCAAGTAGCAGAAATTCGAAATTTGGTGTCCGGAATTGTTTGTTATAGTCGGCGACTCCACGACGAACGAGACCGATGAATTTTGCTCATGGGTGGATCTTATTGGCAGATGACACGTGGAGATTGATTACGTGGACCATTCTCATTGGTTGTAACGAGTAAAGACACGCTTCAATATGTAATGGCAACATGTATATTACCAAAAACCTCAGTCCCTGTTTCGTAAAACAGCTTTCCCAATTCCTATCAAACCCTCTTTGCGAGTGAGAGGGTCTATTTTCCTTATACTTGTTCAACTTTAACTCATTTTAGACACCAATCTACCAAATCATCCTTGTGACAACCCTTTTCAGTACAAGAAACAGGACATAGAGAAATAAAAGCATCAGAAACTTCTTGGAAGCCATGACCCGAAGATTGACTCGAACCCCGAATCTTCTCATCAGCTGCAACACCGTACCACATACCATCACCACCCCTCGCAACAACATCCTTGCAGCATCTCCAGGTCCACCAACGTTTCCCACATCTTCCCCTGATATGTCTACATATGACACTGCCTCTGAATTCTCTTTCTTTTCTTTGTTGGTCTCAGATTTGTTCAGCCCCAGGCGTTCATTGAGCCAGATAGATATGTTGATTAGCAGTTTGGCCATCCATGCAACCTCGTCTTCTGAAACCGGACGGGTCATCCAGTCCCCTTTGTACTTCACAATCCCTGCTATTTGGTTGCCAGCACCACGTGGCTTGAAGAGCTCGTCACGGATTTTTTGAGGATGGTCCGGCTCTAGGGAAAAAGCGATTGGTTTAATGACATGCCCACCAAAGAAGTTTGAAACCGCTGATTTTAGTGAATCTACACACTTAAGGGCCTCTGTGAGGTTTTTCTCGGATACAGTTTGCAGTTCGGCTTCTGCCCGCAGTATGAATAGCTGCAAATGCAAAGAACAAAAGCCTTCAGTAAAGTAAAATAAGTTTTAAGCTCCACTCGCCCCTGTGAGCTAAGGGATTCTAGAGTCGTATAAACTAAAGTATAGTATTGGTAACAAGAAACATGCGTGCAGATCAGGGATTCTGATGGCTCATCGATACAACTAGGGTACTGAAAAACAAATGTAGGAGAACTAGTTCTCAAAGTATATTTCCGTGAACAATTTCTCAAAAAACAAATTCCCAAGTTAATAGCTCACAGCATCGCCGATGACTGAGAATTCATCTAATTGTCAAGTAACAAATTCTCCTGTTAATATAGATAGAAGGCTACAAACAACAAAAAAAGTAAATCGGAAGGTTATCCATATATTTTTCAACTGGATCATTCCATAATAGAGCTATTTTTAAGCACATTTGTAGATATCATCCTACAAAGATATCTATCTTCTACTTTTTTTATTCCTAACTTATCACTACAGTAGATTATAAAAGGAAGACATTAACCTGAAGCAGTTGTTGTCCGCCATCTTCACCATCACTAAAGAGTTTCAAGTCTTTGTTCCAGTTTTCATGCAAGAATGAACCATCAGCGTTGCTCTCACACAACCCATCTTCCCAATCCTGAAGTTCCACAAGCAGTTAAACATGGTTTTTCAGCATAGAGTTTGTGTACTTATGTGAAAAAAAATTGATTTTACAGTGTTTTATTAAACTTTCCAAGGGTGTTATGATGAAAAAAGCTAAATAAGTATGAAGACAAAGGATGGCGATAGATGGAGTAAAACCACTGGAAAAGCGTTCAATGACCGAAGACAGATAACATATGGGTTTGAGGGAGGAAAAATATAGGCATACCTTCAACTGCTCACGGATAGATGGAGCAAATCGAGACAATTCGTTCACTTTTGAGTTTCCTGGTCCAGTTTGTTTAGAGTGAAAGGCTTTATCAATATTCTTCACCAGAACCAAAAGCTCTTTTGACGATGTCAATGTACTCATCACCTATATAGAGAGACACAATAGAACCATTCAGTCACATTAAGATTTAAAAACAGAAGTCTTGCAATCCATATTCTAACAGATAAACCCATGAATTTGAGAAAAATAGCTTAAGCCAGGGATCAAACCTTCAGAACCATCTGAGTTATTATTTCTGGATCTGTGTGAAGGAACTTGTGCGCAAAGCCAATAAAATGCATGACCAGAGAACTGTAGTAGAGATAATTGGATATCACATAGCTCTGCCACAAAGACGTGTATCCACAAACGCGTGATTCATAAGACTCTTCCTTTTTCACATCTTTTACAGATCCATTTAAAGCAGCTTCAAGATCTGAGAAATCATCCAAACTGATCATCCATGGTTCCAGGTACACAACCCAGATAGTGAAGACCTGAGATGCATTCTTAATTGAGCTTCCTATGGGACAGAACAAGAAACTCCTCAATATATAGCGGTAAAGCGGCCTCTGTAAATGGGTGTTCCAGGAAGTGAGCGGCCTGAGACTCAAATTCGCAACATGGAATGACGATCCTGAAGTCGGTGTCTTCCACCGTGGACTCTCGCCATACTCAATGTAGCTTTCACTCCCAACACCACTTGTAACCCAGCTCAAATTCAGATACTTGACAAGCAACTTAACTACTTCTTCCAACCCACAAGTAGGTGGAATCTCCTCCACAGCAGAACGGAAAGGAGGAGACACACCAACAGATTTAGCCGTAACAACAGGAAACGGTGAGAAGTCATTCTCCACAAGCCAATAATGCACGAACACATTCACCAAGAACTCAGCTCTTGTCATCACTGACCCATCATACCCATTTCCGTAATGCAAAAGAGAGCTACGATAAGGCTGGTGTGCGTTTAAGTCGAAAACAGGAACAAATGCTTTCAGATAAGAGTAAAGAAGCCTTAAGTAGAGATTACACTCCAATTTCTGATCAGAATCACGCTTGTTACTCCCTGGAAAACCTTTGATAAGTGTCCAATTCTCTAGCTTAAACATCTTTCTCTTTTGGATAGGATTCACAGCTGAACTCTCATTGTTTCCTCTACAAACCGGATAATAAGAGAGCCAAAACATGTAATACTCAAAAACATTTAGCCTAACTTCATACAATGAACCACGAAGTGAATCCTCCTCAATTTTACCTTTCAAAAAGGGACACAGATTAGATAACGCGCTTCGATCCTTCTCGCTGGAGAGCATGAATCGAGCATATTCCGGTAAACGTTCGGTCGGAAAAACGTACTTAACAAGAGCTAACTTATCAACAGCAAAGATTGAGCTCATGAGTATTCCACTGGGGGATAAGAGATTAAATACTCTCTCCGCTAAATCCAAATCGTTAGCCGCCGAGATTACATCGATCCAACCGTTCGGCCGCAGCGACGAAGACGGTGCCGGAGATGCCGCGGTCGCGTCGCCGAAACCGAAGATCTTACAAATTAAACTCGGAAAAGTAACAGAGAAGAAATGACGACACTGATCAGGCGTATGTGAGTGAAGAAACGATTCGACGGAAGAACAAGCAGCGGAGATATTCGACGGCGTGGAAGCTGAGAGTATAGCCGAAGCTAGGTCTTGAGATTGCGAAAGCGAATCGACGGTGTACGAGTGTGGAAGCATCTCTAAATACGAAGCTGAAGACGAAACTAGGGTTTTTAACGAGAGATAGAGCAAAGGTTTACGCCGGAGAAGAAGGGTTTGAAATGCGAGGCGACTCAAATCGCGCCTTGTGAAGAGGAAAAGGGGACAAAAGAAAAATAACAATCAACACGAGGAAGAAAAAGAAAGCGTTACGTGCCACGTGGCATCTGTGTAAATCGCCGCGATTAACTTTCCATTACTGTGGACTTTTTACCAAAGAGTGGAGGTCAATCGGTAAACGCGGGAACACTCTCGACACTCATCGCCCTAAATTTAACGCTCCTGATTTTGACACGTCATTTATTTTTTTAAGGCCCATTTAGACCAATTTGAGCCCATTTGGCAACTTGTTTACTTGAGAGTTTTCCAATCTGGAGTCCGGTCAAATCCGGTTCGGCTTGATTTAATTTCCCTTTTCAATCCGTTCGTTTGGTCAGAGGATAAACAAACTGTTTTTTATTTATTCAAAACTAATAAATTCTAATTTTTAGTACACATTAAACGAAAATTAACGCATCCTAGAGTCAAAATAAAAGCATACAAATATAAAGAAATGTAAGCAAAAAATAATAATTTGTTTTTTTTTTTTGCTCCCTAATGATCAAAGCTGAACTAAAACATCCTACCAAGTTAAACAACCTAACAAAGCGAATCTTATTTAAGTTACTGTGACCAACAACTAATCTGTAAACCCCAAACCAGATCCCATTTTTAGACCGTCACTTCCTCAGCTCTTTTATAAAGCGTGTATCACGCTTTTGATGTCCGAACTATCAGAGCTAGGATTCGGGTGAAATGCTGATTGTCTTGACGATGACCCGCCACCTAGCTTCAGCGAAAGAGACTGATCGGATTCTCCATTCTTGTTGGACTCTGCAAGGCTGAGCTTAGACATACCAAGAAGCTCATCAACATTGATAGGAGCTTTCGAGTGCACCGCAGTTGGTCTGAGAATCTCATGAGTTTCCTCTTTCTTAGGTGGTTCAGGAACATAACCAGCAGGCCATATTGGGAATGGAAACGGGTAATATGGTGAGAAGTAGGTCGGATATAGTATGGGGAATGAGCCAGGTAGTTGCGGTTGCGGTTGCAGTTGTGATTGCAGTTGTGTGGTTTCTTCTAGTCTGGAAGAAGAAGAAGAAGCAGCAGCAGCGGTTGCAGTTGGTTCCCCGTTGGTAGAGTTTGTGGAGTCCATGGATTCACATTCTTCGATTTCCAAGATCGACGGTGCTTGAAGTGTGCCCGGAGCAAGTGTCTGATGAACAGAGTCAGCACCTTGCATTTCAGTTTCCACAGGAATATTATCTGCTTCTGGTTCTTGCAAATCCATGGGAATATCTCCAACCTACAAGGACAAATCACAACATAAGGAGAATAACGAAAGAGAATTGCATATCAATTAAAATGCCTAAGCAGGATTGGCTGCAAAATGGGATCCTTAAGCATATGTAGAATGCAAACCTAATTAGCTTCTGAATTCTTTGAATCCGTATCCCAACACATTTTGAACCACTCCAATATAAAAAATGGTGTTTTTGAATGAAGAAGGAACAAACCTCATCAGGGACCATATCAAAGAGACTAGAACGTCTTTTGCGACGAGACACATTGGATTGTCTGATGAAATACTTCTGAGCATGGCTAGCAACTTGTGTTGGTGTCCTAGTGGTCACATAGTTTCTTGAGATACCTCTCCAATCACCTTTACCTAGCTTCTGTAATCCTAATAAGAACATCCTGTGTTCTTCCTCTGTCCATGGAGTTCCTACAAAACCAATATCAAACAAACAATTCCATTTTGTTACATAAACCAGATCACCACTTGTTACATAATGCAATTAGAGACTTTGATGCAAAATAAACACAATTACAAAATATTGGAATTTGATATAAGATTTGGCCCAGGAATCAAAGGAGATACCTTTCTTTCTCTCGCGGCTAGAGGAAGAGCCAGCAACGAAATCTTCAGAAGCATAACCATCACCAGCGACATGGTCAGGGACATCACCCGGAGAACCCGGAGTATTGGACCCGGTTCCATGCCCACCCGATCCAGAACCCGTGTAATGACTAAGATTACCCATACTTGCACTTTTCCGGATCGAACCTTCGGTGAGCCTAACACCAAAGAGCTTCACGCCGCGATTGGGACAAGTCCGAGAGTTGTGGCCATTGTGATTGCAGTGAGAACATCGACGAGTCATACCCGACCCGATTTGTTTATCTGAATCGGATCTGATCGGAGTCTGAAACGGTCGCGGATCGGATCTTAGCTGATCGCAGAAGAAGCACAGAATCTAAATTGAGAGAGAGATAGAAAGACAAGGGAGAGGAAGAAAGACAATAATCGGTTTATCTGGTCGGATTTATTACATAAATTCGATTTATCTGGCCGGATTTTTTTGTAGATTTTTTATTTTTTTATTTTCTTTGCTCTTACTCTTAGTATGTTTATTTATATATATAAATCGGAAAATATTTGGTGTATCGTTGGTGGATTTTTTTCCTTTTCCATATTTCATAATTGACTTAATAGTCAATGCAACATGTCTAGATTAGAAGATTTATTTTGGAAAAAATGTTGAATTACTTGAACTAAGAAGTCCAACTAGCTATTACTACTATTAATTATTTATAGCCATTTTTGTATAAAAATTTGAAAAAGATATATTACAGGCTATCTAAATTTTCAAAGTTTTAATTTTGGATATAAAACAGCTTTTTCTGTGGTTTCTTCTTAACATCATGGCATATATCTTAAATAAGTTATTATATATTAATGCCACCACATATAGAATAGCTGTAACTAATAACTCTTTCTATATAGACCAGTTTGTAGGTTTAATGCATTTGTGATTATCCCATTGTCTTATGCTAAATACTACAGTTTCTTTATATTTTTCTGTTTATATAAGGGTGGATATGTATACAAAAAATGCAAAAAGTTTTAAATATTTATGTACAAGTGTTAACCCTCCACTAGAAAATTAGCAATCGGTATGAATATTGTTAGCCACAAGATTAATTACACTATTCAACATTTTAAATTATTCTAATAGACCTTCACGCGTTCCATACATAACCTTGACTAGATTTTTAGAAGTTGTAAACACAAATAAATAAAAGTATGACATCTGTTTGATAAGATAACATTAGCATTAGAAAAAGTAAACAAATGCTATCACCCTACACACAAAGAAAAATTAGATTTTTGGTTTTATAGATAGGGTCACAAAACTATAGGTTATTTATTTAATAATATAAACTAAAACATATTTTAGTAAAATAGACCCATGAGTAAGTAAAATATGTTATCTTAAGAAAGATAAACATGATTGTGATTTCATTTTCTGGCTAAAATTACAAAGGGTGTCATATTATTTGTATTAGACACCACCCTAACTCCAAAAGTCATATCTTATATACATACTAAGATTTATATTCTTTTTGGGGTTAACGGTTAAAAATATTCCTAAAACAAAATCTTTACACCTTATACTAAGAAATTTACTATGTAAAAAAATTATTATTTTTATAGTCTCAGAGTTCCATAATCATTAACGTAAAGGTCAAAAGAAAATTAAAACTAAAGGCAAATGCAATTTTTGTTTATGAACAAAAACAAAAAAAAGGATAGAAGAGAGATAATATGAGTGGATGGGTTTAGTGATTTAGATTAGGAGGTCCCACGTTCTCAAATGCCACGTGGACAGAAGGAGAGCGGCTTATCCAGAAAGGAGAAAATATTCACATTTGCCTTTCTATGGTCAGATCTTCTAATATTATGCCGATTGATTCCTTCACAAAGCTTTCTCAGCCGTCCACGTGTCCTTCTCCCGTCGGTGGCAGATTCGCATATTATTTCTTGTCATTATTATATAACAACGTTTACTCAAATCTTCACCTAATAATAGCTTCTAGCTATTTTTATCCACATACTGTATATCTACCTTTCTCGAACTTCTTATAGTTTCATATCCATTTTTTTTAATGAGATTGTAATAAAACTTGAGAGAGAAACAAAAAAGAAAATAAAATTTTGAAAGAAACCCCGAAAAACGTTTTGACCGTGATTGACCCAAGTAAACGTGGACCTTGGGCCAATCCAAATCTCGAGGCCCAAATGACGTCTGCTTCCAAGAAATTATCGGACATGGAATTATTTATCGGTGGAAATTGAATTCCGAAATTATAGTGTCTCGTTAAATAAATAAATATGAAAATTTGACGGACTTTCAAAATTAGGAAAAAACAAGGAAATTTAAATGTATTCGGACCGACATGAAAACAATAACTACTGTACTGTCCTAATGTGGCGTGTTCTCAACAATAATCCTTATTTGACCAGATACAAAAGAGTATAAACTATTTACTAGAAATTGACCTGCGGTACACCGCGGGGCTATATTTTATTTTTAAAAGTCGAAATTTAAATCTTTTGAAGTTTATCTACAGATATAACCTATATTTTTTTTTTAAAATTGTACATATATATCTATATATTATTCAGTGTGAGTGTACGATTAGTATGTTTTAGGTTTCAATTTTTAAAATATAGAAATGAAAACATACAGTTCATTAAGTAACGATGTATGGCGGATTTAAATTTAATTTCTTTTGTTGTTTGCATTTTATTATAATATTTTTAAATAATATAAATAATTTTATATATGTCAATAATGATATTTTTGAGTAAATAAATATTATAACAATGCAGTATGGATGTAATTGTAGCAAGGATAGTTATGGCTAATAAATATATTTTGTAGAGATCTTTTGGCAATGATTGTTTAGGTTAATATCTTTGATTTAATTTTGAAAATCTAAATAATAAATGCCAATGGGATGCCATCGTAAATAGTAGTAAACTCAAGGGCTATGTTTCTTTTTAAAAATTAATTTTTTTTTTAAAAGATTATCTATTGATATAACCTATTGTTTATTAAAAAAAAAATCAACCCGCATGAAACAATATTCTTGAAGAATTTCTATTGTTGATGATATTGTAATGGTCTCATGTGTGCGTCATTTTTTCTACACAAATTTTTGAATTAAGAAATAATTATTTGTTACTGATAAATCGATATTAATTATAATAGGTTTCCAAATATTGAGGGATTTTAAAAAGATTATTTTCTATTTTAAGTTTGTATAATCATATTAAATAATCTGAATTAAATGCGATAATTAAGGGATTTTGTTATAATTAATGGAAATATGAAAAAATCTTGGAATATCTTTCCATTACTCGATTTTTTTTTTGATTTTGTCATTAACCTCTTTTCATTAATATTTTTTTTTACATAATAAGAAATTAAAACGGATCAAAACTAACTCTAATTCATAAAATTATTATATAATAAATGTGATCAAATTACATATATATTTTGTTTGTAAAACATTCTTATTGTTGATCCTTGCTTAAGTAGTACACCACATTACTCTTTCTCCAATAATACTTTCACGCTTAAAAAATAAGATCAAATCAAAAGAGGATTGCTATAAACTTCTATTTTCCTTCAAGAAAAAATAAGCAAATTAAATCAAGAAATTATATATATATATATATAAAATTAGTTAAAACTAAAACATACATAGAAAAGAAGTATAAGGAATCACTAAATATAAAATACATTAAATAAAAAAAATATATATTATATGATGTCATTGTTAGCCATAGAAAACCCCGTAACTGTTAGAAAATATTTTGAGATTAGAAAAATTATACTTACCAACCAAAATCCGTATCCAGAGTTTTGTAAAGGCTTATATCATAAAAACAATGAAAACCAATAACATTAGAATAATTAAAGTTAAGAATTAGAATTTTATTTTATTGAAAATTTATTTTTCTTCCTACCTTAAAGAAAATGAATTAAAAGAGTGAACTTGTTAGCCTACAAAATAAAATCATTAACAAACATCATGAAGAAATTAAACATGAAAATGTAAAAAAAAAAATACTGAACACTAAAAACAAAAATAGTATACGTGATGATTAGAAGAAGGACTAACTAACCTTTTATTGCATACCTTCTTTAATAGTTTATAAGAGATGAAGTTGATGATCTCCATAGTTTTCCAAAATTTCGATGAAACTGAAACAAATTTCGATCAAGTCAATGGTAGTGATACATCCTCATGATCGTCTCTCATACATACATGCATAAATAGACAAATAATAATATGTTAGAAACGACAAAGCTTCATAAAATTATAAACAATAACAATATAAAGAAATATGAACTAAAAACGAAATTAGAGGTTTGGCGGAATGAATATTTTGATTAGTGGAATAGCATGATCTTATATATATAGTGAAGTAGACCGTGCTGGTTTAGGGTTTTCAAGAGGAATATTCTGTTTATCTTGCTTTAAATGTTTTTAATTATTTACGTTTTAAGAAAATTTTATAGTTAATTCTTTTTGTAAACTTGTCGAAGAATTATTAATACTCAAATCGTAAAGATATTTATGAGAGTATCTTTCTATTGTATATTCATTACTTTTATATATTTATTGTTACGATCTATTTTAAGTAATCTATATTTATGTCAAAGAATAAAAATTAATTTTTTGCTAAACTGATTCGAAATTGATTTTCAAATGATTATTCTTTCCAAAATCTTAACTAAAGATTTGAGCATTAAACGTTTTTAAAGTAATGATATATAGAGTAATTGGTTTCTTTAAAATCGAGATTTACGCAAGATTTTAGGAACAATAGATGAGATAAGGTATGTGATAGTAATTAGTTTAGATTGTGGAAATATTCGAAATCAATTAGAGATAAAATTTATTACGGTATGATTAATGTGGCTATTAGTTTAGGTAATATTAACAAAATTTATTCTGCGATTTATGATTGGCCAAATAAGGGATTAAAATTATTACAAACTTCCTAAAAATTTTTATCCAAGATCCGGATAGAGTTAAACCCAGGTAAAACCCGGATCCAAATGAATTAATGCAAAAAAACCCTGTAAAAATGTATATGTAGATTGTTATTTTGATTTTAAATTTATTGCAATTTAAATGGGCAATTGCCTATATTTAATCTGTTATTGTAAAAGAAAAATGACATAGCTTATTATTAGAATATTAAACAAATTTATTAACATAATATATATATATATATATATATACTGTTAAAAAAATAAATACTTTTTTTTCTTTATAATTTCATAATATATGTATATATTGTTAAAATCTGGACATTTATTTTGAGCATAAATATGAAAACGATTTTCCATTAAAATCGGCTATTTATTAGGGTCATTAATATGAAAGATATTAAGACAACATGGCTTCATTTATTAGTTTGAAATTAAGACAACATCCCTTAAATTGCTAATCCAAGATCCGAATAGACTAAAACCCGGATCAAACCCGGATCCAAAAGAATTAAAGCAAAAAAGTACTATAAAAATATATATGTAGATGCGAATGAGCCACACAAAAAAAAAAAAAAAAAAAAAACTAGTTATGCAAATTTTCCAACCAAGTGTTGTAGCTCTCGAAAAAAATGGGAGGGAAATGGAATTAGGAATTTAAAATGAGACAAAAAAAAAAATAACGAATTAAATGCAATACAACAACCATAAAGTGAATGTAATTGAATATTTTTGCAGGCACCAATATCTGATACTAACCTGGTCCCCTTTCTTCTGGGCTAAGCTACAGTTACAGTTCTCGTCTCTGCATTTACTTGTTCATTCTTTCTCCTTCTCTGCTGCATTTGAATTCTTCATCCCCTATTTCACTGATATTCTCTTGGAGACTTTGATCATTTTCTCACGTTCACTTGAGAGTATTCATCATCTGGGCTTAAGGTTTTGGCTGAGATGGCTGGTTTTGATTTGAATAAAGACGGTAAAAAGCAGACAAAAAACGGAGATTCTTGGCATTGCCCCGATTCTCATAAACATGGACGCTCTAAAAGGTACTCTCGCTTCAATAGTTTAAGCTCAGTGTTGGTTTATCACAAAAAAAAGTTAAGCTCAGTGTTTGACTAATATTGAATCTATAAGGTAACTTCATTAATGGGTTTTTGAGATTATCCCCTTAAAGCTTCAGGGTTTTAAAGGTACTCTCGCTGTTTCTTGCACACCAAGTGTTTGCTTCTATGATGAAAAAGAGTAAAACGACACAGAGACTGTTACGTGAAGAAGTCGATCTGTTTTAAAGCTTTTTTCTGTTTAGAATATTTCTTCCTAAAGCCAATTCTTGTTTATTTTCTTCCCCAGTGCGTCGTCAGAGCGAGATCTCCATGCTTCTGGTAATGGAGCTTCACAATCTGCCAACAACTTCACTAGAATGCAAGTAAGATCCTGTGAAATTATATCTCATATGATTATTGTTTTCTTTTGAAGTTGATTTTTTTTTTGTCTTGTCCATAGACATCCTTTGTTCAAACAACAGCAAACAAGAGACCAAAACCTCTGCATAATTGTCAGATATTAATTAAAAACAGTGTGTCTTCGAACGACAGAGCATCCTTGGAACGCGATGTAAGCATCAGCAAGTTTTATGTCTCCATGTCTTAACATGCATTATCATGTCCCATAAGTGAGCTTGTTCATGTGAATGATCTTTGTGATTTGGTTAAACAGGTTGAACAACTTCACGTTCGTCTACAACAAGAGAAATCTATGAGAATGGTGTTAGAGAGAGCAATGGGCCGTGCTTCGAGCAGTTTATCTCCCGGGCATAGACATTTGACTGGTCAGGTAACAAACACTTCAGTATTTATATGTTTTGCTTAGTTTTTCAAATAGAAACTTGTGAGACTCTGGGTTTATATGTGACTTGGATGATTTAGGCAAAGGAACTTATCACGGAGATTGAATTGCTGGAAGCAGAGGTCGCGAATCGCGAGCATCATGTGCTTTCTCTGTACCGGAGTATCTTTGAACAGACAGTAAGCAGAGCATCTTCAGAACAAACCTCAAGCATTTCTTCTCCAGCTCATCATATAAAGCAGCCACCAAGAAAACACCCAAGTGTTATTTCAAATGCATTTTGTTCCTCCAAGAATTTCCCTCTAAAGCCTTTGCATGCTATGATTATTTTTAAAGATTCGAGTAGAAAAACCTCCAAAAAGGACCAATCTGCTCAGTTCCAGTTCAGAAACTGTATTCCTTCAACAACAAGTTGTTCAAGTCAAGCAAAAGTAAAAGAATTAAGACCAATTTCCCCCTAATTTAATCATTGTTGATACTTCATCTAACTTTTATATGTTCTGTTGTTTTTTTCTATCAGTCTCATTTAAAGGATTCAGTGACATTGAAGTCTCCATCGCAGAGAACTCTAAAGGATCATTTGTACCAATGCCCAAACAATTTGTCTGAAGATATGGTCAAGTGTATGGCTTCTGTGTACTTCTGGCTCTGCTGCACTGCCATGTCAGCAGATCCTGAAAGGAGAACCCTATCAAGATCATCTACTAGCAATGTGATCATCCCAAAGAACACTATGAATGAAGACAGAGCTTGGTCCTGCAGATCCACGGTGGAAGTATCTTGTATCTCATCAGACAAGAGAAGATTTTCTCAAGCATCATATGCTATTAACAACTATAGGTTAGTCCAACAATAGCAGTTTTTGAAAAAACAACATCTGAATTTATTTCCATTACAAGAACGCATGATTTCACTTTGCAGGCTCCTTGTTGAACAACTAGAGAGAGTTACTATAAATCAAATGGAAGACAATGCAAAGCTAGCATTTTGGATCAACATATACAATGCTCTCCTCATGCATGTAAGAACATATTGATCTAATACAAAATCCCTTTACCTCTGCTAAATCATGTTTCTATGAGGAGAATGTTCTATATATTTATCTTCTCCAGGCATACTTAGCATATGGTGTACCTGCTAATTCCCTCAGAAGGTTAGCTTTGTTTCACAAGGTATTCTACTTTGATCTCAATGCTTTATGTGAGAACAGATTCATATTTGAGTAGAGACTAATGGGTTTCATCGTGTACTGCAGTCTGCGTATAATATCGGTGGACACATCATCAATGCAAACACCATTGAATACTCTATCTTCTGCCTCCAGACTCCACGGAATGGACGTGTAAGAATCTTTATTCCTTATCCTTTTTTCAAACACAAAGACAGACAACCATTGAACACAACCAGTATTACAGTGGCTTGAGATCATTATTTCCACCGCCTTGAGGAAGAAACTAGCTGAAGATAAAGTAAGCTCACTGTTCAGCCTTCACAAACCAGAGCCACTTGTCTGTTTTGCTCTTTGCACTGGTGCTCTCTCAGATCCAGTGGTAACTTCTTTTGACTCTTTATTACTAATCTTATTCACATACATATTCCAAAGTTTTTCATATTACACTCATAAATGTTGGTTAACTTGTGAAAATGAATGGCTTTTATTGGGCACTCACATGATCAAATTGATTGCAGCTAAAAGCCTACACTGCATCAAACGTTAAAGAGGAATTAGAAGCTTCGAAAAGAGAGTTTCTTGGTGCAAACGTAGTTGTAAAGATGCAGAAGAAAGTGATGTTACCTAAGATTATAGAGAGGTTTACAAAGGAAGCTTCTCTGAGCTCTGATGATTTGATGAGATGGGTAATAGATAGCTCAGACGAAAAGCTTGGGGAATCGATACAAAAATGCATACAAAGTAAACCAAACAACAAGAAATCATCGCAGGTCGTCGAATGGTTGCCATACAGTTCAAAGTTCCGTTACGTTTTCTCAAAGGACTTGATGGAGAAAAAGCCATGGTGGGTTTAGAAGGCTATTTCTTGCGTTAAAAGAAACCCTCGATGTCCTAACTCTGGTCCTTGTCCTTGTAAAGTTGTATGGTTATAGTGAGACAATGAAAAATGTATTTTCTTGTGTACAAGACAAACTGTCACTTCCCAGACCACTGGTTTGATTTCAAAACTAACAAAAAAAATTAACTAATCTAACTGCTAATTGTGAAATCATCGTGTTGATACAACGATAAGATTTTAGTAAATTGGGGTTTTGGTCGATGGAATATAACACAAGAGTGAACTCATAGGGATGACTCTTTTTGGACGATCACAAGTTGGTAGTCATTATTATTAGAGAAATTATGTAAATTAGGCACTTTTACCACAAATAATTGGCAAACTAGGTACTTTTTTTATATATCGGAAGAATGAGTACTTTTTTCTTTCCTCTCTTAGGTCATCTCCAAGGCAACGGTAAAACTGCATTTTGAAGTGATGCAGTCCACTTTTTCACTCCAACCCAACTGTAAATATTACACTATAATAGTGTGATTCCTTTATTTTGTACAGTACTCCACTATATTTGGTGTGTTACTGTAGCAACGGTAAAAATAAAATATTAATTTTTTACATTAACATTATTATTTAGTTATAGTATACTAAATATGATTTGTCTTGTAATTGAATAATCTTACTAAATTTTGTAAGTAAAAAAATAATGTATCAAAACCATATATTTTTTATTTTTATTTTTGATAATATGCAATATAAATCAGTAGAAAATATTAAAACAACAACAAAAAATTGATTGAAAAATACATAATAAAATTCAATTAACCATGGAAAACATAAACTTATAAAATTAAAAGCTATTTTTGATATTTCGATTGTAATTTTATATTAATTAATAAATTAAAAATATTACAAATAAAAGACATCTTTAGTTTAATAATATAATAATAGAACATGTTATTTTTAGTGTGATATTTAGTGTTATGGTTGGAGAAGAAAAATATTTTAGTGTCAAATCTACACCAAATATAGTGTTATTTGAGCACCAAAATAGTGTTATGGTTGGAGATGCCCTAATAAAGCTTATTCTCTAATACAGCTTTTAGTAATAGACTAAAATATACTTATGTTGTTTTGTTGTATATACCTAATAAGACAAAAAGACATATAGATGTGATATTAATTGGGCCAAACCAAGACCAACCCAATAATGTTTTCATCTTCTAATTGTTTATGGGGTTTATAATTTAGAAATTTACAAATCAATATAATTTGTAATTGTTTATAGGCTTTCTAATTGTTTATGTATACATATTGTGTTATAAAAACTTAAGAATTTCTAAAAACAAGGTGTACGACTTTAGTTTGTAATATAGTGTACAAGCCTCTGTACACAACCTATGCTATGTAAAAGGCATAATAGCTATTAATAAGAAACCGCTTGGTTTTTGCAAGTAATAAAAATAAACGAAGTAAAAAATATATTATGGTTCAGAATCTTGCAAGTAAGAGAGGATTTGTGTTTATAAGGGACGATTAGATTTTATAAAAAAATTGGTATAGTTTAGATTTAGAAAATAAATGTAGTTAAAATGATTGTTTTGATTTTATAAGGAATGAATTTTTTTTTTTTTTTATGACAGCAGGAATGGATTAAGGATTTTATGTTCAAAATTACATATTTTTATTAGGTGGCAGGTTCTCATGAGTTACTAAACTAATTCTGTAAAAAGACATGGTGTACAATATTAGTGTACTAGTCTGATGTACCCAATGTACGCAAAGAACATAAGTGGTGTACATACTTTCAAGTTATATACAAATGCTAGTGTACAGATATTGTTTACATGTGTGAAATGTTAAGACACGGTGTCCATTTAGTGTATAAACTATGTGTACACCTATATTGTATAACTCAACAATTGTTAACAAAACTGTGTACAAATTTGGTTTACACAGTGCATACAGTGTACATATATGGTGTACATACATTTATGTTACGTACACCTACAACTTGAACATATATTGTGTCTATTTCAATGTATATTTCAAAAAAGGTGTACAAACATAGTGTACTTAATTTAACAATTTGTACACCTGTAAAGTATACACATTAAACCCCATTATGTACACCGTATATGTACACCTGTAAGTGGTGTACTTACCTTCAAGTTATATACAAATGCTAGTGTATATATATTGTTTAGATGTGTGAAATGTTAAGACACGGTGTCCATTTAGTGTACAAACTATGTGTACACCTACATCGTATAACTCAACAATTGTTAACAAAACTGTGTACAAATTTGGTTTACACAATGCATACAGTGTACATATACGGTGTACATACATTTACGTTATGTACACCTACAACTTGAATATATATTGTGTCTATTTCAATGTATATTTCAGAAAAGGTGTACAGACATAGTGTACTTAATTTAACAATTTGTACACCTGTAAAGTATACACATTAAATCCATTAATCGTTTAAAGCAAACAAAAAATGGGCCAACAAACTAATGTAAATTAGAATCTCTTTGGGCCAAATAAATCAAATCATTTTAAATGGGCTATGAAAATAATATTAGACCCATTATCACTAAATATGGACCCACCTCAAAAATGTTTTCTCACAACAAAGAAGGATATAATTGTAATTGACACCTATTTTGGTTTTTACCCTATTACACAAACTTCTCTATCTCATAAACCCTCCAAAAAGTGTCTATTCCTCAGTTTTTTAAAAAAACTACCTAGTTCTCAAATATCTTTTGAAAAAGTACCTACTTTTTTAAAAAGTCCTTATTATTAATCTATTATATCTCTGTCTTTTGCATTTTGAAGGTTAATAGTTTTCTTCTAGATCATTATTTTCAAGATTATATGTAAAACAATCTAATTAACGTTGATTAAACAAACATTTCGTTTATTCTTGAGTAGAGAAAAAGAGACGGATGTTTGACCGTTGACTGGAAATCTATATAACTGGGGGAATGCACGTGTGGGTGTCACCACACACGTGTGCTTCGCTGGAATGGATGGTTCTGGCTCGCATAGGAATATGTGCGCCACGTCAGTTCCACATGGGAAGCCCATAAAATTTACGCACCACCCAACTTTCGAAGCTCTCTCTGAAGAAGATTCTCCAATATCCATTTTCATTTTTTTCCTTATAATCATTGATCAAATTATACTTTTAAAAACAGAATCATTAAAGAGATTATAATCCCTAGCTATCTTTATTTTTGGCATGGGAATCTCAATGATCGATCATATTATTACCATTAGTAATAATAAGCCTCAATTTTTAACGTCAGAAATAATCAAAACTGTCACATACGCATTCTCCATTGATATTAATGTGTTACCTTAATAATTAAAGCTTAGTTTATTTTAAAAATACTATAAGAATCCAACAATCATGTGATGCAAACCTCAAATTCCGAGCTTTTTTAGAATAAGAATAAGTTGCCTTGTGTGATGAATTATAATTATGCCTGTTGATTGATTTTTTCCTAAATCTAAAAAAAAAAAATCAAATATTGCCATTTGCCAGTTAACAGATCTCAGTACATGTGAGAGGACAATTGGACATATATACTATTTGTTTAGAGAATAATTGGTTAGTTTAGGTTAAGGAAAAAAAAAAGAGTATTCAATATCGCCAATGATATCCTCGTTCTACAGCCAAAATGCTGTAAAGAACAATCAAAGCTAATATACACATGCATGAAACATATGATTAAGCAAAACCATGATTATTAGTCCTACACAATTGCCAAACATATAAAATGATTACAACACATATATACTTTGTTATATACTTTTAAAATATTCCGTTGCCTTATGATTTTTCACTTAATTATATCATGTAAGTTGAGAAACTAAGGTAATAGTATCCTTCTCGAAGGAACAAAAATCCTTCTCCAATCTCCACTACCTTAAAAGAGAGGAGGCTCTACTGAAAAAATTCGGAAAAAATGTGAAATAGCAAGCTGATGGTTTTTGGAAGACGTTATATCCAATTTGCTATCTACAATTTAACGATACCAAAGTGCTAGTAGGGCTAAATGCCGAAAAAAGAGTCATTATATTCACCATTACGGACAGAACATGGTCTCATCTAGGCTATGTTGAATATGTTCTCGTTAAGAATTGTTTGACCCTATTGTAATATAGTGCAAGATCAGCGGTCATGCTTAAGTGCTAAAGTTAGGCTTAGTAGAGCCAGTTTGAACCTTGGTTAGGCCGAACTCAAACCTCAACAGTCAACACCAAGAACATATTTCCTCTGTTCCTAATAGTTTGATGTTTTAGAGTTTTCATGCATATTAAGAATTCAATCATTGTTTAATCATTTGAATATTAATTTTAATATTATATATTTTAAAATAATTATCAACCAATAATAATTTAAGAAAGTTAATTATTTTTAATCATTACGATTTATTATTATAAATCAATAAAAATAAAGAAAAAAGCTAGAAAATCATTTTTTGTGGAACAAATAACAAAAGCTAGAACATCAATCTTTTAGGAATGGAGGGAGTACAATTTTATTGTCAATATATACTTACATAAAAATTACTGAAGCATCATCACTAAATAATTATTGCTCATCATGCTTTGCTTTGCGGACTCTCTTTTACTTTGGGGGTAAATGATTAAACGAAAACATGCGCGAGTGGATATAACGCACTTGGTTAGTGCGTGTGGCACAAATAAGCGTGAACACGTGGGACAGCCAGATCACACTGAAACACAACTCCGACATCTTGTCGGATCTTGTGTAAAGCACTAGGTCCCACTTTTCATCACGAAACCCATCTTTTTGCTCTCAATAATTGTCGCCCCATTGCCGTCTCCTTTACTTTCTATGCCAGCGCGTAAAGTACACGTGTTCCACTTCTTTTTTTTCTTTCATACGAGAGCATCAACAAAACGACTTTTATTAGATGATTTAACCAAGGTTTGTAATATAATCGTTTGTGATAATATTTTTGTTGTTTTAATCTCATGAACTACGTTTCTAGGTTACAGACAAAAAACATTATTAAATTGAGTTTTGGAATTGCATTTTACATATTTAAATCTCTTATAGCAGATATATTTCGTACAAAAGTATATCAAACCAATCATTTTTCTTACATGTACA